AAAAATAATTTATTAAAAGAAAAACAGTGGTCTATTACAATAAAAAAAACAGATCAGCTCCTGGAAAGACAAGAACTAGTTATTTTAGTAAAAAATGTAGACTTTGGTTTTACTTTTTAAAGAAAGTATCAAATGAAGCGTACCACATGTGCTGATGATGCCAGTTACTCAAGCATTCATCTTCTTACTCTTGATTCTGGGGTTTCATTCTCTGGAATTCTAATGGAAAAGGCAGGGTACAAATGAAGACATGGCACTCTTTGGAAATACCAAAACTCCAAAGAGGGAATATACTATTACCCCTCCAGTAGTAATTTGTGGGCTTATGAAAGAACACATGTCAAAGAAGGACTTACTTATGGATTTGAGGGAGATTGCAATATAAAATAAATGTAATGACATAGTTTAGCAAATGCACATGTCCACAGAACTATGACATGTACTTAGATGAGAAAAGATTGAGAAAAATTTCTACAGGTATTCACCTTTAAAAATGGGCAAATATGTATCTTTGCTCCCCATAAAAGATAAGATTTAGTTTTCCAGGAAGCTCTTATTTTCTTTCCTCCCTCCTCTTCTCTTCTCAATTTGTTTTTAAGATAAGGAGTTCCATTTTTGCATACAGCTTTTATAGAGCAATTGTCATGCTTTCTTATTGTAGGACAAGAGTCTCTGCCTAATTTGTTTAAGGCCAAAAAGAATTTGTTGTCTCATATACTGAACGTGTAAGAGACTTGAATTAAAGGTTCAAACAAGGGTCGCCTGGGAGGCTCAGTTGGTTAAGCCTCGAACTCAGTTTCAGCTCAGGTCATGATCTCAGGGTCGTGGGATCCAGCCCTGCATTGGGTTCTGCACTATGGAATTCTCCCTCTCCCTCTGCCCCTCCCCTGCTTGTGAGCTCTCTCTCTCTCTCAAATAAATAAATAAAATCTTAAAAACAAAAAAAGGTTCAAAGGATGTCATAAGGAACCAGGCTCTCTCCATTTTTGGCATTGCCTTTTGCTGGCTTGCCTTCATTTTCACCAATTATACCATGCTAACTGCTGGGAAGCCAGTGGAAAAAGCATTTGTTTCTTTCCCAACTGTTATAGCAAAATCTCATTTTGTAAAATTGCCTCCAACTGGGTCATGTGTGCCCCTGAATTAATCACTGGATCTAGGAAAAATCATTGCTTTCACTGGAAGACTGATGGCTCATTCTGTAGCTGGAGGAGGCATCAACTGAGGATAAAGGAGCACTGGTTTGTCATAGAAAAATGTATATGCAGTTAACAGGTACATAGTGAATGGTGAATGGGCAGAACAACAGATGTCCAGTTGAAGAATATTTATGTGTTGAAAATGGAACACAAAATTCCTTCTTAAGACACTTCAACAAATTTACTCCTCTTTTCGGTTTTCTGATGTATTATGTATCACTATTCTCGCAGACCCAAAACCTCAGAATAGTTTTTACATATCCCACTTCCTTGGCTAAGTCATCAAGTTCTGTGAATTTATCTTTCATAATGTCTTTTGCACCTGCACTTTTCTTTCCGTTTTCACTGCCACCATTCAAATTTGGGCTATTATTAATTTTTGCCTAGATAGTTGCTCTAGCCTCCTAATTGATCTTCCAGCCTTCAGTTTCCCAATATTTTACTCATATACATCAAATTTTATTTCATTTTGTTTCTCACTTAGGTTTCTATGATTGCTCAAAATTTTTATTTTGTTCCTCAGTGGGTGTAACATAAAGAGCACTGATCTTCCTACAATATTTATCTAGCATCCAGGAATTTTGTCTTAACTATTTTTTGCTTATTAGTTGTTAGCCTTATTTGTGAGCAAAAGTTATCCAAAATTGGGGTGCCTGGGTGGCACAGTTGGTTAGGGGACTGACTCTTGATTTTGGCTCAGATCATGATCTCAGGGTCATGAGATCAGAGCCCCACTGGAGACCCACTGGAGCCCCACCTTAAGCCCCATCTTGAGCCCCACCTCAGCTCCATGCTCAGCGGGGAGTTTGCTTCTCTCCCTCTGCCCCTCACCCCACTCACGGCTCTCTCTCTCTCTAAAATAAATAAATCTTTAAAAAAAAAGTTATCCAAAATTGATTTGAATTCAGTGCAAACTCTCTAAGTTTCTGCACAGCTCTAAAATTTAATCAGTAAATGAACATTATCCTATTGCAATTTTAGAGACACAGTATATTTTTTTCTTAAGAAAAAATGATATGGGGGGTGCCTGGGTGGCTCAGATGTTTAAGCGTCTGCCTTTGGCTCACGTCATGATCCCAGCGTCCTGGGATCGAGTCCCGCATCGGGCTCCCTGCTCCTTGGGAGCCTGCTTCTCCCTCTGCCTCTCTCTCTCTCTCTGTCTCTCATGAATAAATAAATAAAATCTTAAAAAAAAAAAAAAGAAAAAATGATATGGTACAGAAATTATTTTTAAAAAATTAGTCTGACTGGGAGTTAGCTGAATGAAACACTGGAGGCAGAAAGACCCATTCAGTGTTACTGCTATAATATAAGCATGATGTGGTAAAGTCTGGAGTAAAGGGAGTAGAGCTTGGAAATAAAAAGGAAGACATATTGAAAGGGAGAAATTTATATTTTACCTCCCAGTTTAATGGTTAGGACTGTGTTATCACCTTTCTCTCAACATTGAATAACAACCAATATAGCCAGGTCAGAGGAAATCTTCAGTAAAGCCCACGAGTGTGGTTGAACAAAATTGTATGTGGGAGAAGTTTTAGCCTGAGTAATTAGGAGAAGTATAGAAAGAATCCAAAACATTTATTTTCTGTCTTCTTTTTTCCTCTCTCCTTTCTTTCCTTCCTCCCTCCCTCCTACCCTTTCCTCTCTCCCTCCCATCCTCCGTCCCTCCCATCCTTCCTTCCTTCCTTCCTTCCTCCCTTCCTTCCTTCCTTCCTTCCTTTTTTTTTTTCCCCCGAAGAAAAGAATTGTTTATTTGGCTTCCTGGAGGTTGTTGTTACTGTTGTTTCAAGAAAGGCAATATGCCAGCTTGTGAGTTGATATCCTGATGATTTTTCTACTCTTAGAATAATATGCCTAATACCTTTTGTAAAAATAATGGTGAGGAGCCTAGCTGCTTCTTCCTTTTCCCACTGTAAATAGTTCTCCTGTTCCTGTCTTCAAAAGAAGTCCGGTGGCTACCAAGACTTATGCTTCTCAATTTTTTAGGAAGATTAAACCTGGATTTTACTTACAAAATCTAGGATGGGAAACTCTAGGGTCTTGCTTGATTCTTACTTCACCTCTTTGTACTTACCAGGAATATAAAAACATATTTTAGATGAACAGGTATAAAAGAAGTTTCAACATTCTATGTGAGTGTCACATAATGCTCACTAATGAGACTTTATAACTTATAAAGCACTTCTGCTGATAAATCATGTTTAATACTTAGAATAATTTTGTGACATAAACGTAACAAATATTTTAAACTTCATGTTATCAATGAGGAAACTGATGCTCATGTGATATTGAAATGTATTTTTGCTTTGCTCAGCTTATCTTATGTTTTCTGGGACCTGACTATTTTCTTTTGGGGAATTATTCTTTGCCCTCTCTTACATATTTTCCAAATCAGAGCTGCCATAATCTTACATAATCTCATCTTGCTGGCCACAAGGATCTCTCTAAGATGGTTGCATGTTCTATGCTAGACAAATATAATAACTCATTCTCCGGCCACAGTAATTCTAGAGCCAGTAAATTCTTTGATCAAACCTGGCCAATTAGAGTCTTTCCTTCCCTGCAATTTAAAATGAGAACCATGAGAAAAGAAGGGTGAAATTGTGAGGGGTGAAGTCAAGAGTTGACAGGCAATGCTGCCTACTACATGGAAGAAGGTGAATCTGGCATACAAAGAAAGGTAGAGATGAGAGAGAAAAGTAGTATTGATTAATATCCTCTAATTCCTCTGGTTCATAAGACAAAGCTCTGTCTTTAGCTAATACAATGTTTGTAACTATACGAACTGACAAATTACCCTTTATTTGACGAATCTGGTTTATGTTGGCTTTCTGTTTCATTGTCTTAAATCAGAAGAGTTCTAACACAACTGAGAATATAAAATCAGTACCAAATAATCCTTAGTTAATTAGTGACAGATGCTGGAATAGACCCTGATTTTCTGATAGTCTAAAGTATACTTTAAAATACTTGACAGTGATTACTTGTAGGACGCAGACACTGTCAATACTCCACCCATGTCCCCTTAGATCCCTTTGCTACTTTTCTGTGCACAGGCTTCCAGTGGGCTTACCTCCCACTTATCTTTTTTGGAGGACTATCCTCAGGCTGTTTGAACCAACTCAGCCTATGCTGCCTGAGAACCAGAAATGCCTGGGAATTATTGCCCCCTTGGGGCAGCCCTTCAAAGGACTGACAAGTAGTAGGGCTTAATTCTCACATCTTTTGGTAAGGACGGCTCTGAGGTATGACTGATCTCTGCTGTTTCCAGAGTTTCCTTGAAATATTGAGTCAAAGGTACCTTCCACAGGACTTGTTAGTATTGGACCTTTACAAGGCCTCCTTCCCTTTTCATTCCTCTAGCAGGTCCCCCACCCCCCACATGCACACACTCCCATGGAACCCTCTCAGGGTGTGATTCTAAGGAACCCAACTGAAGATAATAGACTACATTTTCCTAAGCTAAAGAGGGAAACACAGAAGTTGAAGGGTTCAGAAGGAGAGGACTCAGGTTAAGAACCCTGGGTGTGAGATATCAAAAGTAGGTGAAAGAGAACTGTTTGGGAGAGGGACATGAAAAATCAGGTACTAAGATAACCACTATAATTGTATTATTCCTCACCTAGAAATGGGAATTAATCAGAAAATGATCTAAAAATATGGTTCAGCCATATTTCCAGTGAATTGAAAGGGTACACCTTCTTTACATGAGCCAAACATTACAGAGCAGTATTTTACAGTGGTGTGTATCTTGGCTTAAAATTTAAGGTTATAATTTATTCTTCTTGGTTTATTTCCCAGTATTCACAGCAATGTCCAGCATACCTGACTGAGGAGTATTGTTGGCTGGAATCTTTACTGAAACCGTTGTAAGAAAGTAATCCTTTCCAAGAGTTCAGGAGTAAAATTACCAAGCAGCTGATTTGCTGATTCTCTGAGAAGTGTCTAACCTCTCCCCCCTCCAAACAAATACACAGACAAAAATATTTTCTGCATTCACCAGCCAATACCTACCTGAGCTGTCTATTGGAACCTTATTCAAAGGTAATTGAGAATAAAAATATGGATAATTCACTGATTTTAAAGTTACCAGAATTCTGAGATCTAAACCAGCAAAACTGAGTTAAGGAAAGTAGTTTTTGATTCAATTATTTAGGCATTTCAGTGATCCACTTCATTTTTTAAATATTTCTAAAGCCACCATACAAAATTTTTCTAATACATTTTCAAAATTTATTAGAAAGAGAAATATTTGTTCATCACTGTTTAATTATACTTGTATATTTTATTTTTCATAAGCCACATATTTTATAGAACAGTTCCAAGCTATTCAGACGCCTTAAATAAAAAGTTTCATGAACACGAGCTTCTGTTCCTCAGTGTATTTCTTGTTTCCTGAATTTATGTTCATATTGAGTGTAGGCTTAGGGGTGTTGTAGGGTGTGTGTGTGTGTGTATTACTGTTCTCTTCATAGAATTTCCATGCCCCTAGTTCTAATAGATTGGCCTTTCTGTCCTGACAGCCCCATAGAGCAGTGCTATTCTCATATTCTAGACAGTAATCAAAAGAAAAACCTCAAAAATAATAGTTTTATAAACTTTATTTTTTCTGTTAGACTGTGAGATACTTGACGGCATGAACTGTGACCTATTCATCTTTGTATTCCCTGACTAGAATGTGAGCGTATAGAAGATGCTCAACAAATATTTGTGGAATGAATGAATAAACAACCTATGTGTAGAAAGTTCCAAATGGTTAGACTTTCCCCCCACAATCCATAATACTTCCAGGAGAAAAAAGAAATTTGGGGAAGAACAGTGGGTTCTAAGACACCGACTTCTCAATGTTGGACTTGTCTCCTCCTAGAGAATATTAGCAATATAGCTTAGAGGGAAGCACACAGAAAAAAAGTGTGGCTTTTTTTTTTTTTTCCTTTTATGTTCCTGGAACAGACTGTGTCCAATAAAAAATGTGGCACAGTAACTTTCAAGATGTGACCTATTCCATTTCTATTCCTTGACATAATCCTATTGGTAATTTAAAAACATTGCTATTATTTATATTTTATGTTGTAAAAGGTTAGTTTCTTTTGATAGAAAGATACTGTATAAATGTAATAAGCAATGCAACATAAGAGTCCATGTAAAACTGCAATATAGTGATTGTGCAAGGCTAAAGAAAGCAGTCTGGTAAATCTTAAACACAGAATTTCTGACTTCCGATCTAGGGCTTTTTTCAGTAAACTACAATCCTATTCACTTCACATTTCCTGGATTAGCTGTAGCAAAATATAAGACAATATTCTGCTCTATGCCAATTTCCCAATACAATGTGTAAGAAATTATAGGGGCGCCTGGGTGGCTCAGATGGTTAAGCGTCTGACTTCGGCTCAGGTCATGATCCCAGAGTCCTGGGATCAAGCCCCACTTCGGGCTCCTGGCTCAGCGGGGAGCCTGCTTCTCCCTCACCCTCTGCCTCTCTCCATGCTTTCTCTCTTTGTCTCAAATGAATAAATAAAATCTTTAAAAAAAAGTGTAAGAAATTATAATATATAAATCTAAATTTTACCCAGGTTCCAAAAAGTCATGTAAGTCTCCTAAAGTAACGACAGCAGTATGAAAAGAGGTACAAGAAAAGCAGCTTTAATGCATGCAACAATACTAATGTCTATTAGTTAAATGAAAGAGTGATTATTATGATTATGCAATGTATTTTTTGTAACTGTTTCACAATACAGGTAATATTGTAATAAATATATGGGAACTTCTTTTAGATTAGGGGAAACACTCTATCCTCAAGATTACTACTTCAAACAAATGGAAACCTATTCTAAATTGAGCCATTAAGGAAAACAATAGAAATCTATACTGGGTTTCTTTTCTTATTAAAAAACCCAAATTTAACAAGAAATTAGACAAATATTTTTAAAAGTGTAACATCTAACACACTGTATTAACAGATTGCTCATCTCTTAGCCCATCACATCTGAGTGCACAGTTTTTGCTTTGTTTACTAGTATATTTCCAGTTCTTAGCATACTGTCTGTTGCATGACAGAAGCTCAGTGGGTTTTTGTTGAATCAATTACACTTAATGTATCACTTTGTTGTACTTATCACTGCATTATATGTAGCCATACAATGTAGCTATGTTATCTATACTAAATGCTGTGGCCCACCTTACAACTTCAAACAACAAAGGCAAAATCTGGAGGCACATAATATATTGTTTTCCCATCTGTGTTGAATCACTAAATCATATCTCATAAAAATTAACTTAGCACTCATTATGTGTACAGCTCTGTGTCAGGTATTAGAGGGGTCATCTGGTGGGGGGATACAAAGCTAGAGAACAATCCAACACCTTTTAAAGTAATTTATCATTGTCTTTATAAAATGTTGCTTATTATTAAAATGGTGTTTACTAAAGGTCATTTTAAATTATTTAAGTACATTAGAGAGAAATATATGAAGTTTTTCAGATGCTAGGAGCAAATTATAAGGCCAATCTTAAAATGGATCTTAGAAAGTTTCATTTCTTTCATAGAAAGCTAATATATTTAGAATATAAATGCAGAGGTGCCTGAGTGACTTAGTCAGTTAAGCGACCAACTCTTGATTTCAGCTCAGGTCATGATCTTAGGGTCATCAGCTGGAGCTCCATATCTGGCTCCATGCTGAGCATGGAGCCTGCTTAAGATTCTCCCTCTCCCTTTGCCCCTCCACCGACACTTGAGCTCATGCTGTCTCAAAAAAAAAAAAAAAAAAAAAAAAAAGAATATAAATACAAAATGCTTTGATTAAACTAGAAAATTTCCACACAATAAAAGATATCATCTGCCATTTGGAGGATCTTACAGATGCCTTGAAACTGTACATGCTTATGTAAATATTAGTTTTTTCTGCTTAAGGATTTAGAGAATGTCCCTCTGGGTGAGAGTGTAGCTTATTTAGCTAATTCTTGAGCCCCATGAACCAAGGAGATTTTGATAGAGCTTCAATAGATTTCAGAACACTTTACCAATTTTTAGAGCTTCAAACTTTTCTAAAACTCTCCATATTAGCAGTGAGTGTGTCCAAAATCATTTCAGATTTAATTTAATTTCAAGATATTTTCTCATCCTAATAGAAAAATGATGTCAATTAAAGGCTTTTTTTCCCCCAAAAAGAATTGTTAGGTGTGTTGATTAAAGTAGTTATACTGCATATACTTTTCAAATTACAACAATGACCAGTACCCCATCCTCAAGCTTCTTACATGCCACCAGCCTTACCTTTGCAAATCACTGAAACAGTTGAATTTAAGAGCTCATCAAACTTTTACTTTGCTCTTCCTCGTTTCAATTTGTACTTTGAAAAAAAATTCTCCTTAATGCAGTCCCACTAAATTTCAGTGTAGGCTTTGGTCTTAAATTCTCCAGAACATATATCAGTGCACATTTGGACACTTTTCATGTCTGTGCTCATTGTGTGGTGTAAGAGTCATATTGCTTCCACTCTCTTTTCAGATGATCACCACTAGTTCACTGCTCCCTTTTTATTACCACTTCTTTGGCCCAACTTCTTTGGAACTTTATGCCAAGATCGAGATATATTTCTACTTTGATAATTTTATTACTTTGGAATTGTGGAAACATGACGTTCACTTGCACTCTCTTTAGACATTACCTTTTAGATTAAGGTATGGTAACACTTAAGAAGGCCCTAGTTCTTGAAATTGACAAGCATGAAGATGAACTGAAAAAAATATTATATATAAAACAGTAATGATATAGGTAATTAGATAATCGATTTAGTCATAGAAGCCCTTAATACTGGATTTAGGGATACAGAATGGTTTTTCTAAGAAAAACTTAAGCAGGCTCAAACTCTGTTCTAGTCACATGCTAGCTCTCCAGTCTCAGTGTAGTGGCCTGGCGTTAATTGGACTTCTACCTCCCCTTCTCCCTTTTCCAGTCAAAGTCCCTAACTTTACTTTGGTCTCTTAACTCTCCTACATTCTCTTTCCACATGTTTAGATGGGGCCTCATCCTTGACTCAAGAGTTGGAGTGAGAGAACGTATCCAAAGTTCACTGGTGGATCTCACTGCTTCAGGTCGCAATGCTTAGCTCAGGCCCGGGCATGAGACATGATCAGAGCCAAGTAAGAGGCAGCGAGGCTTCTTTTGGAACTGCCAGAACAGAAGTGGTGCTCCATCACTGTGAGTTACTTGAGAGAGGTCCAGGCTAGGCTCTGCAGGAGCCACCTCATTGCCATCTGTAGCCTGAGATTGAAGTCCATTAGAGAAGGTGTAAAAGAGTCCTGATGACATTGTTAGTACCCTGTGTTCACCTCTGCCAAAAACAGGCCTTATTTCGAGAATTCTCAGTTATATGATGCAATAAATTCCTTTTTGGCTTAAGCCGTTTCGGGATAGTTTTTATACATGTACTTAAACTTTAGTGTTTATAATAAATAACTCTCACTGACTCAGATTTTGGTATCCGAATGTGGGAATGTTAGAATAATATATTCTAAAATTTTGAAATTGGATGAGTAGAAAGATAGCTACTTAGAATATTATGTATTAGATCGTGGAATTTAAACAATGAGTCTATTAAGTCTGAAGAATATAGGATTTTTTTGGGGGGGTAAAAAAAATTTAGGATGCTAGAGTATGTTGGTCACCTTTTGTTCTTAGTAAAAGACCTATAAGAAATCAAAAAGCTTAGTTAAACCTGACCTATCTGGAAGCAGGGAAAAAAGAAAATATAATTTTTCTACAAAAAGCCAATTTTGCTTTTAAGGCTTGCTATTTATGATGTTTGAAGGACTAGAAATGGGAGGCATTGCATGATGGAAATGCTACCCAAACTAACAATCAGAGGCAAGGTGGCAGGTAATAATCAAGAACCTCACGTGATATACTTCCTGTATCACAAAGGGACAATTGCGTCCAGAGAGTTGTGGCAGAAAAGACAAGATTATATAGAGTTTTGTCTAGCCCAGGCTTTCAAATTACCCATTGAGCTGAAAAGAGAAGATGTAAATTCCAGAGCGAACACAGCATTGTGCTGCTCAATAAAGGCAGAGACTACAAATGAACTGGGAAGGTTTTTAGTCTTATTAATTTTCATTCGGGGCTTCTGATATTTGCAATGTGAAGCGGCTTTAACTATTAAATTTAGTCTCACAGAGCCTTGGTTTCTTATATGTAAAATAGGAAGGACAGTAACTGTCTCCCAGGATGAATTTAAGCATTAAATTAGACCATACAAGTTGGAGGATTAAGCACTTTGCTTGGTACATAATTGAGACTTGATGTTGCAACAAATATTATTGGTGTAGGTAGTTCAGAGTTCCAGAAAAGAAAGCTTAGGATAATTTAAACTGTAATAATTTATATAGTGAATAGTAAACTTGTAGAATTCATTATTTGAAGAAAGAGTACTGATGGTAAATACATCTTTAAAAATAACAGACCCACAATGGATTACGAATGAAGCTAAGATTTTCTATATATACGTTGGTAGCAACATATGATTTAAGTGCCAGTACCACTATTATATAACACTATTATATAACATTGTAAATATTTATCTTTGTGTGTGTTTATTTTATGTTTATATTTATTTTTCTCCCAGCTAGACTATCTTTGTACCACCAATATTTAACATACTGCTTGGATCATCGTAGACAACTATTTTATGTTTGTTAATTAACTAATGAAAATTATTTTCTCTTGCAACAATCAAAAAAGAGCCATATTTAAAGCATAAATCTAATCAAAGTAATTATTTTTTCAATGTAAATGCATACTTAAAATCCTCAATAAATTTGTATATAAAAGATTCCCCTAATCCCTTTTTTATTCTAGAGAATTTTACCATGATGTAGAGGGTTACCTCTTTTTCTTTCTAGGGGTTTTTTATACTGACTCTTCTTGTAATGTTTTTTTCAATCTATTGAATTATTTATCATGGTCCCCAGCCTTGGGCCCAGGCCTACTAGTTATACTAAGTAGAATTACAAATTTTTGGTGAGGGTACATGACAAATAAGAGTGGGATGAACTGTGGAAGCAAAAAGTGAAAGAACAAAAAATTAAACTGAAGTAAAACTAAAAATCCTAATTAAATTTAGTGGGTTGAGTTCAGTTTTAGAATGGAAAAGTTAGGAATGTGGTAGAAGTAATTCCAGTATGATTTATTATAGTATAGTTTTGTATACATACTGCAGACTTTCCTGAAAGTACCAATTTTATTATTTTCAATATAGTGTATAATTTAATACAACTTAATTTTTCTGTTTTTGTGAGATGTCTTATACATAGGAAAATTTTCTTTATTGGACTAGAGACTTCAATTTTGCATCAAAAAACTTGGCATAGTCACACAATGTATTAAAAACTTTTATTGAGTACTCTTTATGCTCTAAGTACTGTCTTGGTTCAGAGGATACCACAGCCCTTGCCTCAAGAAACTTATAGTCAATAAGTAAAAATGATGACAAAGTAGATAATGACAATGCAAAATGTGAAGTGTTATGATAAAGAAGGCACAGAGAATGGGTACCTACACTAGATTGGGGAAAAAAATTGGGAGATGTTAGAAAATCTTCTGAGCTGAGTCTTGAAGGAGGAGTTGGCCAAGTCTAATGGGTGGGATTGGGATCTGGGAAGTCATTCTCTACAAAGAAGCTGCAATTTGTGAAGGACCATGGTTGAGAGAGAGTATGGGGCATTGAAGAACTGCAAATAATTTAGTGTAATAGGAGCCACCTTAGGAAAATGATGAAGCTGGAGACCCTGACAATGGCTAAATTAAAAGAACTGCAGATACCCTAAGGTTTGAACTTTAAGTTTGCCAGTATCTATTGGATGACTTTACATGGATGGATATGACATGATCCACTTTGTTTTTTAAATGAATTCCTGAACGGATGAGGACAATGTTCTTATAAGAAGGGGCAAAATGATAAGCAGCAGATCAGTTTAGCAAGCTATAGTAATCCAAGACCTGATACTTGCCTAAACCAAATTAATGGTGTTAGGATGGAAAGAAGCAGATGAACTAAGAAATACTAAGAACACAACCTACAATTTTGTGTCTAATTGAATGTTGGTGATGAAGTATAAATTTTTATCTCAGGAAATTAATATATGTTGGTGTCATTCATTGAGATAGGGAATACAGAGAGAGAGATCAAAGTGTAAAATGAGTTTGATTTTCGTAGACGTTAAATTTGAAGGTCTTTTGGGACATTTAAGTGAAAATATCAGGCACTTAGTTTTACTGAAAAGATTGAAGTTATCTTATTCTCCTTTTGGTGATGGGATTAGGGTGGAATACATAACCAAGTTTTTATCAATTAAATGTAATGGTAAATGTCCTGGGGCCTTCTGGGAAGGATTCTCTTGATAAAAAGAAAGAAATTCCTATAGAGAATTCATGCCCTTCTTTCCTGTTTGAACATTGATTTATAGGGACCTGATGCTTGGAACTGCAGAAAGTTTCTTTTGACCATTAGGCAAAAGCAAGGAGAATCACAAAGAAGTGGAACCAGATCCCTGATGTTACTGAGCTACTGGATTTACCAATTCTAGAATCATTCAACTATGGACTTAGTTTAGATGAGATAATAAAAACACTTATTGTCTGAGCAACTTTTCTTCTTTGTTATTTGCAGCTGAAGGCATTCCAACCTGAGGCCTGAGAGGTGATTTGAAGATAATTCAGTGGAATGAGTATAGGCAACTCTTTAAACAGCTGAATTGTGATTATGAAGGAAAAGATGCTATGATTTAGTTGGAGATATGGCAGCAAGTAAGTTTTTTTTTTTTCTTATTTAACGAGCAACATTTAAGAATATCTAAATACTAACATTACAGGGGAAATTACAATTGAGAGAAATTTAAGGCAAGAGAATATCATGCATGGAGCTGATTGAATAGGAAAAACTTTTGGAGAAAGGAGACCTCGTTCTTTCTAACAACAAGGTGACACAGGGAGATAAACATAAGACTTAACTGGTATGTGAACTTCTTTACTTTTATTCAGTCTCTGTCACAACATTTTATTTATTGTTTTTATTTTGTTTGGCAACCAGAACCGGGTTTTATGTTTTGGGTCATCACAGATTGAGATTTTTTGGGAGTTTCTCTCTCCCCATCATCAGAAGAGAATGCCCTCCAGAAAAAAAAAAAAAAAAAAAGTATCAACAATATGTATATGTCAGGTGTGGGAGACCCTGTGCATTTGGAATGAGACAGGCAGCAATGGATTGTGTCAGTAATTGTCAAGATCCGACTTCTGGGGCCAGCTGGCTTATCGAAGCACACACTGTTCTGGAGAATCTACGAGTCAAATTGGTACCAGCTGAGGAGACAGATATTGGGCTGAAGGCCAAACCAAATAAAAAGATATAAGAAAAGGACAAATTCTGAGTAGAAGAGAAAAAATGGAGCATACCAAAGAGTTATTTGATAGTTGTTTTTAAGGATACAGCTGAAGAGGTTTGCATTCGCAGCCTCAAAGCCCAAAAAGCATTCTCTTATTACACTCAAGGGTGGGGAATGGAAGCATTTCAACTGGCTACAGTAGGAGCATACCGAGAAACCTCAGTCCGTTATGTACACAATTTCCATAAACTGACATTCTGCATTTACTCTTTCTTAACTAGATGATACCAAGAAATGAAATCCAAAATCCATCACTGTAATTAACTCCAGTATACATGGCAGTATTTGCTGCCCACAAAGTTACGACTGATATTAAACTGTTACTGAACAATTAAAAGTTAAAATTGATTCTTAGTGAAACAATAGATTGAAGGTATGCTTTTTTATTTAGAAATATACCTCTCCTATAAGATTCTGTACATAGAAATCCATACCTTTAACATTGTTTCCAGATGTACTTTAGGCAAAATTTTGTTTGTTGTTTAGCTAGACCTGTTTCTTAAACCACGTGAAAGATTATATATTACTGAATAGAACCATTTTTGAGGCTTAAGGTTGAAATAGGAGATACTAGTGATTACATATCTCAGTAATTTCCCGTTCCAGAATGATATGGAGTGCAAGAATAACAATGACCCACCCATAGCTTAATTTCTTTACATACTAGCCAAAAAATTCAAAAATCAAATTAATCTTTCCTTGAGTTGTGCATACTGAAAGCTAGAGGAAACCATTAATGAAGTCGTACATCTTTCAAAAAGTGATTAACCAGGTAGAGGGAAACTGGCAAGTGTTCAAAAAAAAAAAAAAAACCAAAACTTTATTTAGTGTTTGGGCCAAAACTGTAAATTATTTTCAAATTATTTGCAGTGTACATTTCATTGCTCCATTGAACTAAGAAGAAATCTATTTGTTCAGCTGGAAGATGTTCCTCTTGGCACAGTATCAAATTTACAAAAGCAATGAGAGAAAGTGAAAACATTTGAACATTTTGAGTGCAAGGAAGTAATATAAACTAATACAGAGCATATTTTATAAGGAATTATTTCTTTTCTGTATTTTTATGTTTCTGAGAACACTATTCAAATTTGCTAATTAGCTAAATATTTGAGAAGTATTTGATTTTGTTATAAGTGAGACACTACTATTATACATTGTAAATGCCTTCCCTACCACTTCTATTTTTTTCCCTTCTCCTGTATTTCTATTTTTTAACCCAAGTTACTAGAATGTTAAATAAATTGTTAATAAGTTAGTGACACCAGGCTGCAAAATAAATGAATGAATACTTGTGTAATACATGTTGGCATTACAACAAAAAAATTTAATTTATTTTTTATGTTTCCACTTTATAAAATGTACAGATACTAAAGAAAAATTGCAAAATGCAGAGTAAGGTAATGAAAAAATAAAACAATATCTTCTATCACCTCACTACCCAAAGATTATCAGTAGTAGTATAGCTTTTTCTAACCTTTAACTTGATGACTAAGCTTTAAAAAATTGAAGTGCTATGTTGTGATGAGCACTGGATGTTATACATAACTAATGAATCGTTAAACACTATATTAAAAATTAATGATATTCTATATGTTGGCTAATTGAACGTAATAATAATAAAAAAATTGAAGTGCTTGGTATAATACTTTAAATGTAATCCATATATTGGTATTTCAGTAAAAATTATATGAAAGTATCATATATATTATTATACATATGTATATATATACAGACAATAATATGTATATTATTATATACTACATATATACACATTTTTTTTTTTTTTTTAAAGATTTTATTTATTTATTCATGAGAGACAGAGAGAGAGAGAAGCAGAGGGAGAAGCAGGCTCCCAAGGAGCAGGGAGCCCGATGCGGGACTCGATCCCAGGACTCCGGGATCATGACCTGAGCCGAAGGCAGACGCCCAACAGTCTGAGCCACCCAGGCGCCCCACATTTTTTTTAGTAGCTGTGTGATAGTCTGTTTAGTGAACATTTAGATTAATCATAATCTTTCAGCAGCATAGGTATTATTGATGAAGTTTTATAAGAGTGTACATTATTTATAATAGTTCCCTTAAATTATTTAAACACATGTTTATTGAACAGCTGTTTTGTGCTAAGCTCAGAGGTGTTAAGACACATTCCCTACCTTAAGAAGAGTATTACAGCCACTCTGGAAAACAGTATGGAGGTTCCTCAAGATGTTAAAAATAGAGCTAACTTATGACCCAGCAATTGCACTGCTATTTACCCCAAAGATACAGATGTAGTGAAAAGAAGGGCCATATGCATCCCAATGTTCATAGCAGCAACATCCACAATAGCCAAACTGTGGAAAGAGCTGAGATGCCCTTCAACAGATGAATGGATAAAGAAGATGTGGTCCATATATACAATGGAGTATCACTCAGCTATCAGAAAGGATGAATACCTACCATTTGCATTGACATGGCTGGGACTGGAGGGGATTATGCTAAGTGAAATAAGTCAAGCAGAGAAAGACAATTATCATATGGTTTCATTCAAATGAGGAACATAAAGAATAGCACAGAGGACCACAGGGGAAGGGAGGGAAAACTGAATGGGAAGAAATCAGAGAAGCAGACAAACCATGAGAGACTCTGGACTCCAGGAAACAAACTGAGAGTTACAGAAAGGAGGGGTTTGGGGATGGGGTAACCGGGTGATGGGAATTAAGGAGGGCATGTGTTGTGATGAGAATTTGGTGTTATATGCAACTAATGAATCATTGAACACTAAAAAAAAAAAAAAAAAAGAGTATAACAGTAGTGAAGACTGCAAAATAAATAGTTCATTTAACATTTTGAAAGACTGATAGGCTAGCAGGCTAAGGCAATGATGTCAAGAAGCTCAGACTCTTCTAACACTAGAGCCACCTTTATAGAGAAGTTTGCATCCAAGAGGTCTGCTCTTGGAATCCACTTGTTAAAGGACAAATTTTACCCTGGTGACAAATCCTGCTTTTTCTAAGATATAAGAATAAGCTAGCCCAGTGTAAAATAGGAAGGGGCTCATGTATTTTTGGAAGTTTACCACAATGGGCAGTCTTCAGTCAAAACTTTTGAGGAACTCCTTCAGAAAGATAGCTTTGTTGGTGGGCGCCTGGGTGGCTCAGTTGGTTAAGCGACTGCCTTCGGCTCAGGTCATAATCCTGGAGTCCCTGGATCGAGTCCCGCATCGGGCTCCCTGCTCAGTGGAGAGCCTGCTTCTGCCTCTCTCTCTGCCTGCCTCTCTGCCTACTTGTGCTTTCTCTCTGTGTGTCAAATAAATAAATAAAATCTTTAAAAAAAAAAAAAAGATAGCTTTGTTGGAGAAGTGATGTTGAACTGCTTGCATTTATATCTCTGGATGCCATTATGAACTTGTTAGACTACTTTGTGGCATTTTCTTAATTTCAATATCTACTAGTAAAATATAAGCTCCATGAGAGCAAGAATATATGTATAGAACTTTGAAAACTTCCTTGTACAAAGGTGTTCAATAAATACACATTGACTTTGTATGGAAAAAAATCAGTCCCTATTCCAATAAGCCATTCTGGGCTTTTGACTTAAGTCTGTCTTTTTTTTTTTTTTTTTTTTTTAAGATTTTATTTATTTATCTGAGAGAGACAGAGAGAGAGAGCGTGCATGAGCGGGAGAGGGGCAGAGGGAGAGGGAGAAGCTGAGCAGAGCAGGGAGCCCTGATGCAAGATTGATCCCAGGGTCCTGGGATCATGACCTGAACCCAAGGCTGAGCCACCCAGGTGCCCCAACTTATATTTCTCTTAGTATTGCCTAGAAGGCGTTAAAAAAAAAAAAAAAAAAAAGAACAAAACAAGTGGAGACCAGCGCTGAAAATTTCTGGAGCAGAAAAATAAGTGTAGTCTGACAAACAAAGCTTAATTTAGCTTATTTTGAAGAGCTAACTTGACCTGAGTCACTTTTTGCTTATGACTCTGAAAATCACAAGCAAAACTTAAACTGTTTCCAAAGGTTGATATGAGGTAGCCACTGGCCAATTCCCCATCATTCAAGAAAATTCTAATATCATCCAATCACTGCGAAGAATAAACAGTCACTGCTTTCTTGCTATTTATAGATAATGCTTTATAACAATATATGTCTGAGCCTCATTCCATGTTTGGTTTGAATGCTCCCAATTTGCAAAATGTCTTTGTGGTATGTATACAATAAACTTTTACTAATTACTACTTTGGTGACTCATAGGTTTTACCTCTGTAATTTCTGAACTTTCAACAAAGTCATATGCTATAGGGGCCTAAAAATATTGCAAATTTAGGGCCTTACATGGGTAAAGGAATAGAAAATAAGTGAAAGTGTTATTTATTTATTTATTTA